TATTGTATTCATTTCTATGCTTCGTCGGCTCAGGAGATTTTTGTGGTCTAGCATATGTGCTGATTCCTTAAATTTACGAATTTTCCAATGATGTTCTTTGTCTATGATCTCAACTTGATTCCACAGAGGGCGGTGATCTCCCTTCTCTCTCCATATGTGGTCAGTCACGCCTGATTTTTCCACTTTCCCTCGTGTTACAGCTTTCTGGTGTTCTTGAAGCCTTACCTTACAGGTGCAGCTTGTCTCTCCTTTTCTGTTTCTTTCCACAGCTGGATAGAGTACACACAGTCTTTAGTCATGTTCTCCTCTGTGGGGGTCTTACTCGGGAAAGATATCTGCGAAGCGTCGTCCAACTTTTGAAGGTTGTCCTGATGTTATATGGACTGAAGATCCTTTGTATTTTTTTCGATAACCCCTCCCTATAAGGCGGGCAGACTGTTTTCTGAGTTGCCCTCCTCTTGTACCTGCCTACCCCAGTTTTTTGGAACTTCTGCCATGTACCCAGGGTAGTTGTTACGTTGTAGTGTACTGCTTACACTGACCATTTTTTTATCTAATGTCTCTGGGTCGCCACTTATGACTTTTGCTCGATGTTTTAAGCAGCGGACGATCCCTTTCTTTACGCTGTATGGATGATGGGAGTTGAAATTGAGGTACTCTCCGGTGAATGTCGGTTTACGGTATACGGATGTCTTGAACCCATGCTCTGTTCGAGATATTAGAACATCCAGGAATGGGAGTGTGTTGTTACTCTCTTTCTCCATCGTGAACTGTATCGAAGGTCACACATATATATCACACATATATATATTTCACTACGCAATTCTAAATGGGTACTCGAAAGTTTAATCGGCACGAAAGATGTCTTGGGTGACAGCTTGGCCAGAAGAAAATTCTGAATTTAAAATCATAGAGAAGGCAACAAAAAGCCCCTTCGAATATATTTCTCAAGAAGTCGTGGTTATTCACAGATATTAAAGAAATAGCAGTTGTATAGACCTATGACCGCCTACGCTCTGAGGTTGTGCGGTATTTAAAAAACGATGAATATTTCATCCAACAAATATAGATGCGTCTGAAGAAAAAAAAATCTTATGACTGAGTAAATCGTCGGTAGGGTCAACAAGATGGGCTGTTCCTAGCGCTATTTGGCGACAACCATCTCCTCTTCGATTAACATGCAACAGGCTGTACTGCGTCACATGGTGCGAGCAGTACAAGGCTTAATCTCTAATCTCTGGCTTGATCTCTATAAAGCTTGCTTACATATATATATATATATATATATATATATATGTTGTATCAAAAATACTTTTTTTCAAACTCCTCTACCTATCCATCTTTCATGGTAGATATCAACCAGTGCACTATTTACATTATTCGGACTATTGTCCTCATCTTGGTCGCCATATTTATTACAACGTTTCGGCCGTTGTACGTCCCGGCCTTCTTCAGGTGGTTGGAATGTCAAACTTAACCCTTTATTTCGCTCACTAGGGTAGACTGTTCTAGTTCCACGTGCCATGTTTAATGGATGTCAGTTACCAGTTATCTCCTGTACCCGGTTAAGGCAGTGGAGAACTTTCAGAGGGGAATTAACAGGAGATAACTGATAACTGACATCCATTAAACATGGCACGTGGAACCCAGTGAGCGAAATAAAGGGTTCAGTTTGACATTCCAACCACCTGAAGAAGGCCAGAGCGTAGAACGGCTGAAACGTTGTAATAAATATGGCGACAAAGATGAGGACAATAGTCCGAAAAATGTAAATAGTGTACATAATAAATCGTGAACATTGTGACTAAAATGTGCCCCATTATGCATGAACCACGTGCGTCTTCGTGTTAGTAGGGATACATCCTCTTGCAGGTCTGGAAGTGTGCTCGAAATAAAGTCCCTGTAGTCAGCTCCTGTAAGACGCGCTGGGAGAACATATGGACCTACCAGACAGTCACCTACAATTCCAGTCTACACATTAATCGTAAACAGATGCTCGTGTCTAGCCTGTATTGTACGATTGAGATTCCGATCCGCCTAGAAATGTTGTTTGTGTACATTTGTTATTCCATCTCTTCCAAATATTGCCTCATCCGTAAACAAGACTGAAAAGATAAAACGTATCGGCAGTATAATATGTACAATAAACCATCGGCAGAAGTTCTGTGGTGAGTGATCAGAGAGCGAAACATCCTACACACGTTGCAAATGATACGGATACAGGAGTTGCTCTTGGAATAACCTCTATGTGATACTATGAGATGTACAACGTGCTAAGGCCACTGGACGTGTGCTAATACCTGGATCGTCACCGACAGCCTATAGAATGTGTTCTTCCTGGTCTGACGTACGAGCGGATATCGTTCTTCCTCGATCCATGGTTTTTGGTGACACTGATCCTGTCTCAGCAACGCGACGATAAACAGCAACAAAGGTTGTATGACTCAGCTGCCTTCGGTCTGGAAATGCAATCTGATACGGCCGTGCAGCCTCGCGTCTATTATCATTCGCCCGACCGTATGTAAAAATCATATCTGCCTGTTCACGATATGAATATCCTGCCATTGTTAAACGGAACATTTCTCAGTTAACTCATTAACTACACACGTTAAACATTGAAGACGGACTAACCACAAATGTACACGAACGACAAATGTAACCTAGTCTATATAGCAACACAACGCCATCTACCGTAAACTTTCTTTAGACTTAATAACTCAAAAGGTCTTTGTTTTAGTGTGAGGAACCCGCCTACAAAGTTTCTAAAAGTATTTTAATACACTCTGTATATAACTTTACACTAATGAAAAGTGCATATATAAAAGAAAAAACAATTGCTGATACCCCCTGACGAGTGGGCGGAGTGATTTCTGGAGGGTCCTAATACGAAACTTTGACTCTTTTTTACAGGTTTCATTGAAGATGACTGATAATGCACTGTGATTATGTCTTTTATTATATTTTCTTGCGTTCGTACAAAAGATTTCATTTTTGGACATAGAGTGTGTAAGAACTGTCCAAATGATCGTTGGGTCATCTGAACGCTTTCCATTATATATCCATTATCAAGGATGTTGGTTCATTAATAGCAATTACATCAGACGTACAAGTACATGCCTATCAAGAAAAATTACATTGTACTCTCAGATCATAGATCCCTTAGAACACATTTAAAGGCATACAGGGACTCTATCCGCAATATACTCGTAGAAAACACGAGAACATGACACACTCATCTAACTGCAGAAAACGCTTACAAATAATGGAAACCTTAATAATAAAATATAAGAAACTAACTCTTAATAATATCTGTTATGAAAACGGCTACAATGTGATGACTGTGTTCGGGAATTAAAACATTTCTATTGCTATAAAAATAATCTACATATTCAAAAAGACAACCTTGATAAGGATTAATATAGTAGCCAAAAGTGTTCGGATTCAAAAATCATTTGAAGCGTTCTTACACAAAAAAGAAATCACCGGTACGAATGCAAGAAAAATATAATGCAAAGCTTAGTCGCTGATCCTTGTCAGTCATCTTCAATGAAACATATAAATATATGACAAAGATAGCAGTAACAAAGTGTGGAACCAAAAACGCTGTCAGTCAGTGGGATACTGAGAAAAAAAAAGGCATTTAAGGCGAGCATTTAAGGCGAGCAGTCTTTGCAATAAAGTGCTCAATTTTTACTCTCGCTCTCTCAGCATTTTTGGCTTCACACTATCTTTGTTATTGCTATTGCCTTAACTCCTCGTGAAAATCATTTTCGGTTGTGCACTTCTGCACGTTTTTGTTTAAGTTTTATCACTTTTTACAGCATCTATTTCTGCTATAATATTTTCTCAAAAAAAGTGTAAACCTAAAAATAAAAAATGAGAAATATAAACAGTTATTTGCTGATATCTCCTGAGGAGTGGACAGAGTGATTGCTGGAGGGTCAGTCTATGAAACTTGTGATTCTTAAGGTAAAATCAATCATCTAAGTTTTAACTTTATCTTTTGTAATTATATATATATATATATATATATATATATATATATATATATATATATATATATATATATATATACAAATATGTGTGTGTGTGTTTGGGCAAAAACCTTTCTTTTAATTATCTTTCATTAAATATGTCAGAGAGGGAAAATTTAATTAATTTTTTATTTAGTTTTCCAGCATCCTTACGTTCTTTTCTTTTGTAGGAATAAGGGAGTACAAAAATTTTCCATTGTCCCAATCGCCACTTCTTAACCATTTATATATATATATATATATATATATATATATATATATATATATATATTGCCATCCACAGACAGACTGTTTTGTTGTATCAGTTTTGCTAGACCTCCGATTGCCTCAAGCCGTGATCGAAACGACTGATTTGGCATCAGTCGGAGATTTTACTCTTGAGCTATCGGTTGAGAGGAGGGCTAATTTACGTACTTATTCTTCGAATAAACACACTCAATTCGTGGGAGAACTTTACAATATTAGAAATAGTTGTCAGTGTTTATAAATTCGCGCTTTCTCCCAAGAGTGCTCGACCGGAATTAAATTTTCTGGGGGAGTATATATATAGCGGTGAGCAAAAATGTGCTAGCTAACCATAAAATAAACTTACGTCTCTCTTGGCCTTACCGTCTCTCTCTCGTCACTTTTACTGCTGACTTTATCTTCTTGCCATTCTACCCATTTGTACATAACGGGGCGCGTAACTCTACTGATGACTGGTCACCCGCCAAAGGGGGGTTAATTATTGAACCATGACTACAGATATAAACTCATGACTGGAATGGCCTAACTTCCGGCCAAGTGACACTTGATCCAAAAAGTTGTATTTATTTAATTCCTTTTTCCCTATTTGTAGACTACATGTTTTCATATGTAAACTTTACGGTTGGTCATAAAACACTAGACTCTTCAGACTCTGATAAAATCCTTTAGAGCCCACTTGACTTCATGCGTATTCACATTACTGCAGAGTTGCATTATATCCTAGATAGATTGACACAGAGATAGATCGATAGATAGAGAGATAGATAGATCGAGAGATAGATTGTCTTCAGAAATGTGTGTAAAAGGGATAGAAAGTAAAATATATGTTAGATTTGCAGACAAATTGACGTCGAATAAAGAATAAAAAAGCGAGAGCTGCTATAGTTTTTTTTTTAATCGGTAACATTAAAGAATTATTCAATAACTAGCAGGATAACCCGTCTTCGACCGGCTGTTTCATTACTGGGAATTTTTGCCGTTCAATTGGAGCAGTTTAAGTTTAAAGTCAGCCCACCCGGAAGTCAATATTAGTAACAACAATTGAGTGCAACTGGGGCACATCCCCCAAATAGGGGGGGGGGTTAACAATTTAAATGAAGGAGTAGGGCTGAAAAGGGCCGTTTTTGCGTTCTCAATCTTGCAAGGAAGGAACCACTTCCATGGGCCATCATAATAATAATATATGATAATTTTTATTTATAATATATTTTTTATAATTCTAATAATCTTTTGCGTTAGATTTCAACTCTCTAAATTGATTGTACGCTGTTTTTTTACAGACATTAAATTTTGCCTTTGATTTTTGCGCAAAGTGTAAAAAATCAGTTTTTTCGATTTTTCACCTTCAAGGTTGTAATTTTTTTCCAGCCAATTTGGACTCAAACCGGCACTGAAGAATTATCTGTCAAACAAAAAAAATGTCATCGAAATCGGATGAAAACTGTGGAAACGCATAAAAAACATCCGATCACACAGCCAGACACACATACACACACACATTTTGAGAATTATAGATATAGATGTCGTTGCAAACTACAAAACGAACGCAAAATTAATTACATGAATGTCCAAATCAATACAGAAAACTGCTCCTCAATTCACAGCATGTTACAAAACAGTGCGGTTTCGAAAGTCAAATATTGATATTTTGTTTTGTGCGCATGTTTTCATGAGAGGCGTTCATTTTCAACCGTCCTATTGGGTTTGTTTTTGATAAATTTCTTTCTGAATTTCTATTCGCCCAATTATTGACAGCCTGTGATTAATCTCATCTTTACGAAGCAGAATTTGCAAACGCGCACATGCGCATGCGCAAACTCACACATAAATGCGTCATTTTTTTTTTAATCAGTATCATCCCATGCAAGGCAATAAAGCCACTAAAACACAAGGTATTACAGGGTGTGGAAGAATTAGGAACAGAAACATTAATAATGAGCGGGAAGAGGAAAGAGTAATCAGGAGGACAGTAGATAGCGATTGACATTGCATTTAAATTTTTGCAGATTAAAGTTGGCTGGAAACGAGAAAAGAGACTGTTAGTATAGAACTTGCGGATAGATCTAGCCAACACAATTTTAAATTGATGAGGTCTTGACGCTAATCTAGTATTGCACTTAAATTTAAAAAAATGTCTAGGTACCATAGCGAAGAGCTCATTCAATTACCATGAAAATATTTATGGAAAGGACACAGAGAGTCAACTTTAAGGCGGTGGGAAAGTGACAGAAACCCAACCACCAGATTAGGGCCAAAGGTTGTTTAAGAAATATTTTTTTTTTAATTATTTCCACCTATAATTCACGTCAGTATGGATGGATGATAGAATGAGGAGAAAGTGGATTAGTAATGTGTTAAAAGAGCAACAAAACTAAGCAGTTATGGGGAACTGTGATCTTACACGCTCGGAGAAAATTTGGCATATAAAAGATTTTTATTTTGACAAATCGGCCGTCGTATAGTATTTTTCTTAACAAAAACATCACAGATAAAATAACACAGATGATAGAATAGGAGCATTTTTACGTAGTGTACAGGTTAACAAGTTTATCTCGTTACGCCAATTACGACTGAATAAATAGTGATTTCGATCTTCACTTAGTGTCCCATACTTTCGGCTTTGTGTTACATCTTAAGTTGCGCTTAGAAAATCGCCATAGATTACAGAACAGACATTGAATTAAAATTGACAAAAAGAAAATTACAATTTCAGTCGTTAGTAATACGAAAAGAAAAATGAAGAGAGAGAAATTACTATAGAATGAAGTAACAGGTAATCACTCCAGACCTCGATCGAGGAAATGAAAATATTTTATACACCGACCAAACACGAGGAAAGAAAGTATACACGTATCAATAATATATTGACACGGGTGTATCTATAAACATGGAAATGATTGCAAAACACTTTCTCCCATCTCCAATTTATAGGCAAAACCCACAAATGCATGCTGGGATTTTTTCCTAGCCAATAAGATAGGCTAGTTCTCGATCTCATCTGAGTCAGTCCCGAGCTGCCGATTCCGGCGGTTCGGACTGACTCGTTCGAACTCTTTGCCTTCGGGCAAAGAGGAACCCAGACAAGGCTATGCCGAAGGTCAGAATCACGTCTGGGGAGATGGATAAGCCCGACCCCGTGTGTGGGGGGTCTACGGGAAATTTTTGCTTAAGGTTACTGGCTCGGATTCGCTCCACATAAAAAAACGGCCTCATACCACACCCTGCCTTGTGGGGTGGATAAGGTAAATAACCTCTGTCCGATATGTCCTGTCTTGAAATTAGAAGGTTGCATTCATTTATCTGAATCCGCTCTTGTGTATTAACACCAATTCTTAGTTTGTAAACTTTTTGCCATATTACTGCTAATATTGCATATATTGTTTGATTGTTTTATATTACCTTTGCCCTGTTCTTTTCTTTTTCTTATTGTTTATTGCAAACTTTATCAATCGTGTTAGACCGTTCTGCCATTTATATCTAACCATGGCCACTTGCTCTACACATTTTGTTTTTTTTAACGATGGTTGTCTTGATTTAATATAAATTGTCTCGGGGACTTTTAAGTGATATTTGGAATAGATTCTCTCAAAACTTCATACATCCTCATAGAAAGATCTGTCTATATTTCTGAGATGAGGTATTATGTACACTATTTACATTATTCGGACTAGTGTCCCCATCTTTGTCGCCATATTTATCACAAGGTTTTGTCTAATGGATGTCAGTTATCTCCTGTTAATTCTCCTATCCAAGTTCTCCACTGCCTTAACCGCGTATTGAAGTCACACTCTTTGGGTCCTGGATCACAGGATCTAACCAATGCCTTGAGGACACATGGCACAGTGGATAAAGGCGTTGGTTACATCCAGTGACAGGACCCAAAGACTGAGAGTTCAATAATCAGTTAAGAACTAGGAGAGGGGAATTAACAGGAGATAACTGATAACTGACATCCATTAAACATGGCACGTGGAACTAGAACGGTCTACCCCAGTGAGCGAAATAAAGGGTTTAGTTCGACATTCCAACCACCTGTAGAAGGCCGGAGCGTACAACGGTCGAAACTTTGTAATAAATATGTCGACAAAGATGAGGACAATAGTCAGGATAATGTAAATAGTCACAGAAAGATGATGTATATTCCTACTTTTTAATGAGATTTTCTGAGATTGCTGAACCGGATGTGACTGAACACTTATAAAAATGTGACTGAACACTTATAAAAATTTCCCCGTCCTTTTCTAATGTACACTGTTTTTTTTCCTTTTCGTGTTGCCAATTATTGCAATTGTAGCTTTCCTATTGTCTCTTGTTATTACATCATTTTATCGAAATAATTACATTTTGTACACACAATAAGATCTTTACATATTCACTAGTGGCCTGCGTCAATTCATGTGGAATTTGTAATGATAAATTTAAAAATGTATTCATTGTCTGTGCTTTTTAATCAAACATGTATTAATGAAGGAATGCTGGGTTAGTGTGTGCATCTTTTCGTGATGTTGTATATGATGATGATGTACTATCCTTTCAGTTTAGGTGTATGGAGGGGTGGGGCAACAGTTCAGTTTAGAACTGAACTTCTAGGCTACCCACACATATGGTGATGTTGTAGAAGCTTTATTGTGATGAAGAAAGAGCCGAGTGGTTAGAACATTCGTTTTTCGACCATGAGACCCGGGTTCAAGTCTCAGCATAGTCGATTACTCAGGAATGTGACTTCTTGATGTAATCGGTCTGGAGAGGTGTTGCCTGTGCCCATTGATAGACCATACCACGCCTGGTGAGTGAAATTGCATAGACGGTACTAATCGGAGGCCGTTGATGGTTTTGCTAGCAGGAAATCACAAGTCATCGGGACCGAGAGTTTGAACGTATTGCCCTTGTCCAAACTGTGTATCATGCCAGAAGATTCCTTCTCGTATATTCCTTCTGCTGTCTGTTTTATCAGACATGTCGATTGTGTTTAAGCATGAAACAGTCTGTCGCCTCTGCACGTTAACTTCAATGTTCCCTTTTATATTTGCATATGCTCTATCCCAGATATTAAGCACTTTAACCCATAAATATAGCATACCTTAAAATTATATATATATATGTGTGTGTGTGTGTGTGTGTGGAGAGAGAGAGAGAGAGAGAGAGAGAGAGAGAGAGATTGTTGAAACAAGAAAAAACAAAAATATATTCGGTATAGTATGTTTTTATTTAATAAAGTTAAAAATGCAACCCTAACACCCCCCCCAAAAAAAATTTTATGCAGTTTATGGATAATGTGAATAAAGCATGGATAACGGAACGACAACTGTTAATCCCTGTGGATTGAATAAAGGTTGAAGTTTGAATTTCCTGGATCGTTACCAAATACGACAGACTCGGGCAAGGAGTAGAACGACCAAAACATTGTGAATTTAACAATAGAGATGACGGATAAATCAGTGTATAGTAATGTAATTTATAATCTTATATATTTAAGTAGTGAAAATCTTGGTAATCCGTATGGATAAGTCCAAGGAGGATGAAATCTGGAGAGCTCAATGTTAAATCTGAGCGATTAATTTAATTTAAAGAAAACTTTCTTTTTTTTTCATTCTTGGAAGTGAGGTCTGATGAGCCAGGAAAAAAGAAACTCCCTGGGGAAATAAATTATAACCCTTAAAGTTGTCTGTTTTCTTTAAATTATATATATATATATATATATATTACATTACATTGCATCTAGACATATGGTTCTGTTGTTAATATTTCGGTCACTCACGTGGTACGACGTCATAGAACCGTATCTTGAACTTAGGACCTGCGTCTGCTATTCCGCGACTGTTATCGCCGCATAGCAATCTTCTATGTCAACATAACAAAATATCATCTTCGATAGTGAA